TGACATTCCCCTTCGGCGGCGGTACGTAATGATCGGGAAATGTGGTTCCACTGCTCGCGTATGTCAGATTGTTGAAGAGTGCTCTCAGAGAGCAGGTCTGTGAGTCGAGGCGGGTGCGTATCTTAGCTACAACAAGATAGTGGTCCGAGTCGATGTTTGTCCCTCGGAGTGTACGTACGACTGAAACGCCTTCCGCACGCATGCCTTCCGTCTATCACAATATGATCGATTTGGTTTCTCGTTTTTCGATCTGGAGACAGCCATGTAGCTTGGTGGATGTTCTTATGCAGGACCCTAGTACTAAATATTACCATGTTTCGTGCCCCGGCTAAATCAATCAGCCTCCGTCCGTTATCGGACGTTTCGTCATGGACGCAGATGAGCGAGATGTTGAAGAATCTAGCTTTGATGAGGACTTTGGCTGTACGTTCTTCCCCCGGGGTGAACGCCAGTACTGGGCGACGAAGTCTCTATCTTGCCACGAATCCAACACCGAATTTGCGCACCTTTACGTGCCAACTGTAGCAGACGTCGCAAGGCTTTACACTTACTTTTCCTTGCCCCGTCCATCGCCATTTCTTGGATGGCGGTGATGTCAGCCTTTGTCTTCCCGAGAACATCAACCAGCCGGGCAGAGGCACCTTCCCCATTAAGGGTCCGGATATTCAAGGTGCATACCCTTAAATCATAGTCCTTTACACGTTTGCCGTGGTCGTCATCAAAAAAATTGGGTCTCATCCGAGGCTGCTTGTTCTTTTTCATTGGGCGGGGTTTTAACGTGGCGAGACCCAAGCCCAGCGCACGCGCACTACCTAGAAGGTGATATACCCATTGCCCGTATTTAGCTTCGTTGGGACATATCTCCATCGGTCCCTGCTGGATATTTGTTGAATTTGTTTTACTCGGTTTCATATGTGTTTTTTATGTATTCCCGGATTTGAACGAATCCAGCTAAGGGCCGTGGTTGAGTCGGACCAAATGAAGGTTTGCATTGCCAGGTGGTTAAGAGACTCCTGCACTTTATTAGTAAGCTTCGCAGCTAACAATGCCCCATTTAACTCCAGACAAGGTATGGCTATTTTATTCAGCGGCGCAACCCTGCTTTTGGCCGTTAATATCGACACCTTCACTGATTGGTCGGCAGTAATGACGCGGAGATATGTTATCGCCGCATAAGTAAGCGCTGATGCATCCGCGAAAACGTGGAGTTGATACGAAATAGCGTTTGGCGCAGTATGCACCCATCTCGGCATTTTAATGGCTTCTACTTCTCGTAGCTCCTTTCTAGAATTTCTCCACTGCCTCTGATAAGGTTCTGGAATGACATCGTCTCAGCTGCACCCAGTGATCCACAATTGCTTTATCTATTATAACAATAGGTGTGAGCCAGCCATTGGGTCATATATCTTAGCAACATCCGTGAGTTGTTGACGCTTGGTAATAGGGCCAGATAGATCTGATAGATGACTCATTGGACGAGGCAATCCAATAAAGACCCAATGCTTTCACTTCCTGATGTTGATCAAAGTTACATCTATGTTCGTCATCAATTTGTTCACCTTCAATGCTTTAGTACCTGGGATACCTGTGGGAAAGAATCGCCTTCATTTTTGGCCAACGAGTGGAGAACTTTTATTGTAATATATGGTACACAGTTTAGGCCATAATTTACTGTAAGTAGACGATAAACCGTCGGAACCCCCATCTCGTTTAACCATACAATTCGCTGCAAGTCAGTGTCCTGAGGGTCAACCAATATTTGGCGATAGCACTTCTCAATATCTGCCATAAACCCTATACGGTAAGTACGCTACTTCAGGATAACCGACGCCAGGTCATTTTGCAGTTTAGGGCCTACATGCAAGCAATCATTCAACAACACTCCCAACTTATTCCGATACGCTGCTTTGAAAACTGTCCTCATCTTCGTAGTAGAACTAGATTCTTTTTAAACTCCATGATGGGGTATGTTGCGAAATTGTTGCGGTTCACACCGTTCGGAGACAGGCTCCATGTGTCCGAGGCGGAGGTACTCATCCATAAACGATTCATAAAGTTGTTTCGATGTCCAATCCATTTCTAAGCGTTTTCATTGGTAATTGAACGCGTCCCGATTTGAATTCTTTAGTTTATTTAAATCGACTCCATTTTTAAAGTATATCTTACGATGTAGCGATCGCAACTGGAACGCTTAACCCAGAATTTACTATTTGTGCTCCCCCGACTCCAGTAACCGGTCCTCAATTGCTGAGCAGCGAATTCGCTGATAAATGTGGCTTGGGAGCCGCTATCAAAAAGAGCTCTGAGTGTGAAGGCGTGACCAGAAGGAGAAACAACACTGGGCGGTGGCAAGTAGTGTTGACGA